GAAAAACTGAACGTCTTTGAAGCACTGAACACAATTGAAGCACAGAACATTACTAAAGCCCTGAACATCATTGATGTAATGAACATCATTAAATCATTGAACGTCATAAAAGCAGCGAATGTCATTGAAGCAATGAACTTTACTGAAGCATTGTACTTAATTGAAGCATCAAATGTCATTGAAGCAATGAACTTTACTGAAACATTTAACTTAATTGAAGCATTAAATGTCATTGAAGCAATGAACTTTACTGAAGCATTAAACTTAATTGAAGCATTAAATGTCATTGAAGCAATGAACCTAACTGAAGCATTGGACTTCATTGGAGCACGGAAAACAATTTAAGCCTTCATGAACATCATTAAAGCAATGACCACCATTTAAGCATTGAAAATCATTGAAGCCCTAAATAACATTGATGAAATGAACATCAATGAAACATTGAAAATCACTTAAGCATTGAACACATTTTCAGCATTGTATACCTCTGACGTATTGAATATCATTGAAATAATACAACACAAATATATCTGAAATCTACGTCATAGCTTCCATATGGGTTTCTACTCAGGAATTTTAATGAATATTGAAAAGGATTTTGAGTCCATGGACATTAAAAAAAAGTGCTGGTACATTACTGCAATAAAGGTTTGGTATGGAATGATAACACCTGTACCAACAAGACCATTCAACCATACAGAAACTTCATCAGGTCTCAAGCGTACGCTGTCCCGCTATCAAACTGATATCAAGGCAAAGGAAAAATTGTGTTTGAAATGACATTTAATATTCAATAAAAACATACCCAACCTTTTACATGATCAGGGACTGATTTTTTTTAAAAATCAGACAAAATGCTGATTCAGATTGATGATCAAACCCTGGCGATAGACACGGTAGTATACTCACAGGCTATTCTATTTCACAGAAAATAATTGATTTCTAGCTGAACTGGCAACTACAGGCTACAACAAGTATTGTTATATAAACTATGATGATGATGAATATATTTATTTGCCATACATTCCATGCAGACATTTACCTATAGAACACAGACTACTGCTTTACACATAGAGCTCAGTAATGCTATCAGACGTACAGACCAAAGCTTACCATTTCTGTCACAATTTCTACTAATTTCATCTAATTAATGCTCACATGTACTTTATACTGTAACTAGAACACTGACAGGTCAGCAAGTATCTCCTGGGGCCCATCATATGCTCGATCATACATCAAACCCCACCAATCATCATTAGTATTATTTTAGTAACAGTGTTCTTGAATTTGATTGTGACATGAAAAACTTTCCCCTGTTTATGACCCAGGGGTTAAGTCTGCAAGGGTGGGGCAGACCCCAGGGTTAATTCTAAAATTATGACTGCATTCGTCTCTGTATGCCCCAAGATTTGGGGTGGGGATCTTAACTGTTTCAAAGTTATGACCCAGGGTTAAGTCTCCAAGGGTAAAGCAGACCCTGGAGCCATCCTGGAAGCATATGTGCATTCGTCTCTATATACTCAGCAATTGTATATATGGTTATAGGGTGGAGATCTCAACTGTTTCAAAGCTTTGACTCAGAAACAAGGTCCCTAGGGATTTTGGTCAGACCCCAGGGTCTATTCTTATATCATTTGTATATACAGTTTTAGGGTGGGAATCTCAACAATTTCAAAGTTATGACCCAGGGACTATGTCTCCAAGGGTGGGGCCAGACACCAGGGTTCTGGAAGTATATGTGCATTCTTCTCTTTATACTCAGCAATTGTATATATGGTTATAGGGTGGGGATCTCAACCATTTCCAAGTAATAAACTATTTTTGGCCCCATCCTTAAGCCAGGGGGGGTCAGTCCCACCATTTGTACAATTTTGAATCCCCTCCTCCCATGAATGCTTCCAACCAAATATGATTGATATCCACTACATAGTTCTACAGAAGAAGTCGTTTATAGCTATATAGCCAAATTGACCCCTTTTGGCCCCGCCCTAGCTCACTTCCCTGGGGGGTCAGCCACATCATTTGTACAATTGTGAATCCCCTCTACCTAGGCATGCTTCAAATTAAATATGGTTGATATCCATTTATCAGTTCCAGAGAAGAAGTCGCTTAAAGCAATATAGCAAAATAACCCTTTTTAGCCCGCCTTTCTGCCCCCTGGGGGGTACAGCCTCACCATTTGTACACTTTTGAGTCCCCGCCTCCTATGAATACTTCTGACCAAATATGATCGATATGCAGTGCATAGTTCTACAGAAGAAGTTGTGTATAGAAATATAGCCAAATTGCCCCCCCCC